GGCATTAGTCTCTAAAGAAACTGGAGTATTTCATGGAATTGATGTGTGAGATGGAAAGGAACAAGGGCTGCTCCAGGACTTCAGGTTCTGCAGAGTGAAGCCATTGATGGGAATTCCTAGTCATGTGTCCAGATTCCAGAATATTAAAAGAAGCTTGGTTGATCCAGCATGAATTGGTCAGCCAAAGTCAGACATAGAGTCACGAAGCAGAGCTGTCGGCATGGAGAACTGATGGTTAGTCTTACAGTGAATTGGGATGGTAATCTGACTCCAGAAAACAATGCGTTTATCTTTATTAATGTCTCAAGATGAAACATTTCACTTGAAGCTGCAAGATACTTTGTCCATTTACAATTAGACTGCATTTAAATTAATGAATTTTAATATACATCTACTAGATCACCCACTGTCATTGTTAATATATGGCTTTTTATCATATAATATGGCCAGTATAGTGTAGACCCTTTAGCCAGTTCTGCACAGCTTTAGATCCTTAACCTACCACCTAATTGTGAAAGTTTAGACAGGTTACTAAATCTCTAACCTTCATTTTGTCTATAAAAAGGAGCTTTATTTACAATAGCCAAGAATTGGAAGCAACCTAGGTGCCCATCAGTAAATGAATGGATCAAAAAATTGTGGTACATATACACAATGGAATTCTATGCAGCAGAAAGAAAGAAGGAGCTCCTACCCTTTGCGACAACATGGATGGAACTGGAAAGCATTATGCTGAGTGAAATAGGCCAGGTGTTGAAAGACAAATACCATATGATCTCACCTTTAACAGGAAGCTAGACAACAAAACAAACAAGCAAGCAGAATAAAAACCAAGACACTGAAATAGAGAACAAGGGGACAGTGACCAGAGGGGAGAGGGGAGGGAATTTAAGGGGAAAAAAGGGGGAGGGATTTGGAGGAACAAGTATGAAGGACACAAGGACAAGAACTAAAGGGGGTAAAAATGGGAGGGAGGTGGGGAGCACAGGGCGGGGTGAGATGGGATGGGAGAAATAGACAAAAAACTGTACTTGAAAAATAACTAAATAAAAAAGGAAAAAAAGGAGCTTTATCAGTGAGCTATTGCTTCAGTACAAACTGTGCATCTCACATACAGTAAGAATTTAGTTCTTGATCAGTGGTCTGTGGGGAAGCAGGAGTAGGTCTGACTAGGATGGGTCTACATCTCTGTCACTTGTCTCTCATCTTCCTTGGACCTACAACTGCCTGAAGCACTTTTTACTCAGAGTAAAAGGCAGAAACCCAACTGCTAAAGTTTATTTCAAGGCTTTACTTGTGTGATATCTGCTGGGACTTTATTTCATCATAAATACACCGTCCTTGGGTATGTGGTGAGGAAAGGGAGGAGTGATCCAGTCTACCAAAAGGGTAATACTAACACCTATCTCATAGAGTTGCTGTAAGTTTAATGTGTGTAAAGAGCTTAGACTTATTAGAATAGTGCCTAGAACAAGTAATTGCTCAATAAATATTATTAGGCATACTCATGAAGAAACTTACATACAAGTTAGGTATTAAAATACATATTTGTCTCCTAAATTTACAAGTGTTAATTTTTCTATCTCCACTAAATACCTTTTCCCTCCTCCTGCGTAATGGGTCCCCTCTCAGAACCACACTTCCTACTCAACAATCTCCCCTTTTTATCAACTAGAAAGAAACCAGGAATTCACTTGTGGTTTATATGGTGACCACATGCCCTGGGTTTTTAACTATAATTATCACTCCAAAAATTCCATCTTCTTATCAGACGACAGAATGGGATTTCTGGGAGGAAAGTAATTAAAAAAAAGGAAAACCTCTTTCTGACCATAAACTATCACCTCTTGGTAAGCTAAATTTTGAATGGTTGTTTAATAGAGTTGATTAACAACAAGAATGGATTCATGAAATGTCAATGAATAATAATAATAATAAAAGACATAGTGCTTTAAAAAAAATAAATAAATTTGGCTCTTGTCCCCATGAGTATTTTGCAATGTTTTCAGAAAAAAATAGAGAGATCAAAACATAATTATTATATTTCTCTTCTTCATTCTCAAAACATCTTTTCTATCATGTCATGTTTGCTCATTTGTTTTTTCTTTTTTTTTAATTAATTAAATTTTTTATTATGCCATTACAGTTGTTCTATTTCCCCCTTCATTCCCCTGCACCCTACCCCCGGTCCCCACCATTACCTCCCCTTTATAAAATAAAATGTGACAAAAAGTAAAAAAAAACAAACATATTTGTCAAATGTGTCACTTTAGTAGATCTAAACAGACATGCTTAAATTTGATTAAAAACTAATCTCTTTTTAAATTGCAGATTAGATGAACAAGAATATATGCCTTTAAAATCGCCAGCCAACTTCTGGGATAAAACGATTTCTGCCTCAATTATTTAACTGTTAATAAAATCATAGAACTAGCAAAGATCATCAAGTTGTATCATCTCAATTTACAGATGATAAATTAAGCCAAGAATGGTGAGATATCTAAATCAAAGAGAAATAGCTAGATGGATGCGTAAGTGTAAGTAGTTAAAATAAAAATGGGAACACAAAGAAGCAAATCAAGACTGCTAGAATTCTAGTTGAGAAGTCTTCCCACTATTTCACACAGCGCAGGTGTTGTTTAGTTTTGTCCAAATGTTGTCTCATTTTTTTTTCAATGAACCTTAAGAAATAGTTTTAAGAAGCTATTAAAATAGCTCAGGCTGGTATAACTCAGTGGATTCAGCATAGGCCTGCAAACCAAATGGTCACTGGTTCGATTCCCAGTCAAGGCACATCCCTTGGGTTGCATGCCATGCCCCAGTTGGGGAGCATGCAAGAAGCAACCTATCAATGTTTCTTTCTTGTACATCCATGCTTCTTTCCCTCTCTTGCTCCCTCCCTTCCCCTCTCTCTAAAAATAAATAAATAAAATCTTCAAAAAAATAAGTTATTAAAATAACATTTTCAGCTACTCCTTCAATTGAGAAGAATTGCATTATTATAGCATAGGATTTACTTATAATGTAAACAAAACAATGTTCTTGCAGAAGCTTGTGTGTGTTTATCCATTCTACTAATATTTATTGAGTACTTGTTACCTGTTAGCCACACAACATACAATAGCAAAAAAATATCTCTGGCCTTGTGAGCATACAAGGCTGTTATATGATAAGACAGCCAATAAAGAAATAACTTAGTATGTAGTATATCCCACAATCCCTTGTATCTAATTCCAAAATCAGAAAGCTCTGAAACTGAAAGCTTTTGCCACTCATATAGTGGTAAAACCTAATACTACACTCATGTAGTTGTAAAACTGTGAGGCCATTTATTTTTTAAAATATACTTTAAATGAATGTATTTTATCTGTACAGATACTAATATTTTACTTTAGGGTGCTGTCCCAGATGTCTCAAGTGGGGAGGCGATACATGTTACATAATTCCAGTACGTTTACTATATTACCTTTTTAACAGTTTATTTTTATTGTATTTTTTATTATTATTTATCCCCCTGTACCCTCTTCATTCAAATATTACTGAATTCCAAAACTCATCTGGTCCCTCTAGGGATTGTGTTGGCCTGTATAACATCTATAAATTATAGATTACAAATACTATGAGTGGAAATGAAGCAGATATGGATGTAGAGAATGAGGGCCAGCAGAAGTGAGTGCTGGAAGGTGAACTTGTTTAACTAGAGTAGTATGAAAAGATCTCTTTGGGAGGTGACATTTGAGCAGATTCTGAAACATGCATGGAACTCTCAATGGAAAAGAGTGCTTCAGTCATTGGGAACAGATATGTGGCTTTCTGGAAAAAAGTGTCCTAGTCTGAGGACAGACGAAGCTCAAATACCCAAAACAAAAATGTGTTTAGCATGTTTGAAGAAGAACAGGCCCCTAGGGCTGTGGAATGGGAATCAGGGAGTGATCAGTAGGCTGTCAGAAGTAACCAGGAGCCCAGTCATCTGAGGCAAGACCTTTGGGTTTTTATCTGAAATGTTATGGGGTATCTTTGAAGGGTTTTGCAAAGGCATATCTAAGACCCAGTTTTTTTAAACTTCAGTCTGTTGGTCTGCAGATAATAAAACTATCAGTCTTTTGCCATGTTGCACTAGTAAGCATTGGGGAAATGAATCATTAAGTGGAACCTAATCAACAAAACAAGCAAGCAAAATGCAATCAGAAACATTGAAATAAAAAAACTGACAGTATCCAGAGGGGAGGGTGTAGAGGGTTAATGGGGGAAAATAGGGAAATGTCCATCAAGAACAGGTATAAAGGACACATGGACAAAGCCTAAAGGGGTAGGATTGAGGGTGGGAGGTGGAAAAGGGGGGGAGCAGAAGGGAGTGAAAATGGAGACAATTTGAACAACAATTTAAAAAAAAAAAAAAAAGCTCGTCCAAAGTCAAAATTATTATGACTCTGGATGCAATTGAGAAATGTAATGGTAACTGGTCATTTTTAATAAAATTATGACCATACGCTAATAAAATAATCTCTCAGATATCCCTTGAACAAGTGCCATGCTTTGAATTAGTAATCTAAATAATAAACTATAATGTTTGTTGTTTCTTGTTCTAGACTTTTCCCTAAGTATTAGGGCTGGGAAATTAGTTTGGCCACGATAACGCTCTTCCCAGTTTCCCTCCCAGGTAGACTGCTAGAGGAGAGAAGCCTGAAATTGAAGCAGTAAGAACTGGTTTCTCATGCTGGCTCTGTCACTAGGATTGTGACATTGGTTGAGTTGTTTAACCTCTCTGAATTTCAGTTTCCTATACTGTGAAATATGGGAATTGAATCATCTGATTAATATAGCTCTTTCTTACCTGCAGTCATAAATTTAGCAAGGCTGTGTGTAAAACTAAAATTGTACGATTCTTAACGAGACCTCGTAAAGTCTCAAAATGTCCTTAAATATTAAATGAAAGAAATATGAGATAACTGGCTTCCTGTTTAAAATTGGTAAATTCACCCTTATTCCCTTTTTAACAGGACCAAGGAAATAAAATACCAGAAGCCAAGAGCACAGAATTTTTTTGTTAATTCATGGAATCGTGATACTTCTCTAACTGCATCAAATACAAAGGAATGACCACCTTGGCAGATGGCCACAGAGGATGTCAACAATTTTTTGGAGGCAAGCAATGAAATATTGATGCTATGAGTTTTCTATTATTAAGTATGTAGAAACAAGTAGAATTATGTTTTAATGAAAATATTAGAAGTGTTCTTTAACATAGTAATTTATATAAATATAGCTAAGCTATTCTTCCCTCTTTTTCATGAGCATTGTTGCATGTCAAAGATTACATTGAGCTAAGCTGCGTTTGCCTTTTACATGATGTAGGGATACATTACATTCCTAAATCCAAAGTAAAAATTTAAATAAGAGAAATGAAGTGCTCATTTGAAAACAGTGCTCTTCGTATCTATTTCGGACCCACATATGATATAATGACAAATACTGAGTAGTTTGGAAAGTTAGAATTATTTTCTATTTTAAAATTACCCTACCATTTTGAATTTTTGTTTTAATTCCTGCAGTTTTCTCACTTGTTTTTAAATATTCTAAAGTGTTCCCAGCGCTTGGGAGTCATTCCTTTACATCCCTCACAGCTTTGTGTTTTGTGAGATGTCTACATTAAAGATCCCACTGAATTTTTAGTTACTTTCACAGCTGCTCTTACTTTTCCTGGAAGAACAGTCAGCCAAAAATTGTGGACCACAGCGCCATCTTCAAAATTGAAATTAATTACCTTACACTTGAAAGGGAGAGTTTGCCTGGAACAAAATTGACTGTATTTTAAAGAAAAAATTATAAATGTAAGGAATCTGCCTTCTTCACCTTCATGAAAAATAAAGACTTAAGTAGATGAATATAAAATGAAACAAAGTAAAGTCACAAAAAATTAAGTAGAATGCAATAAAATTGAATTTTTCAAAGCATTTTATACAAACAGAGAAACTACAGGTTTGCTCAGAATTTTTTATTTGATGTCAATTCAACTCAGAAGCCTAAGGTCATCCAGCAAAAGAGTCTGCTTTTTAAGTTGAATGTGGAGAAACGCTTTCTAAGTAAAGGAGACCATAAATGTTTAAAAAGCCCAGTGTAGGGCTTCTGAGTTTCTTTCAGTAACTAGAGTCAAAATTAATTCTTGCTTTTCTGTTGGGGAAAATTTCATCTAATTACATTCAAATTATTCTGCAACTTTTTGGACAGCAAATCCTGATCACCAAAGAAAAGAAAGCAGCTGTGTTGCCCCTGCCTAGTAGTTACAAGAACAGCATTATTATGCAGTCACTGGGCTTCATAGAACCCTGAGTGGTGATCCTCTGGCTGTCTTCTGGCAGAAACACACCTAACCTTTCTGAACTGCTGATAATGTATGCCTTCTGTTTGTCAGGAAGTATCTGCAAAAAAACAAACAAAAAAAAATACATTCTACTGCTTTCTTAAACAAACCAATCTAGTATAACAGCTTTTGGGAATAGCAAGTTCTTTCTTGTAACCCTTTGCACACATTCATTGAGTGACTGTTTCTAAAATTTCTTTTCTCAGAATTACACTTTAATCATGATTTGAGTCTTTCCTTAGCTTAGTACAATTTACTTAACTATTTTAAAAATACTTTAAATTGACCATTTCTAAATTAATGGAAATATCAGTAGTTCCCATAAAAAATGTTACTCCACAGGCAACCTATAGTCAAATTTCTTTCTCTAATTTTCCCTTTTTTTAGCACATCCATATATCATGTCTCATTTTGATATTAAGTTATTCTTTAATCACAGCAACATATCTCTTGTCAGATAGCTCTAATTTGTATTTCTTCCACAGTAAGATGCAGCCCTTTGTTCTCTTCCAGTTGCGTTCTATTTATGACCATGTCATTAATATGCCACAGATAATAATAAGTCTAATCAAAGTGCTGGCTGTTTCATTTATTTTCCATAATTTAAGGTTTATTTGCAAATTATTATTGTAAAAAATTTTAGTAGCTAGAAAGATAATGAGAACATAGCATGTATGCCTTATGCATAGAACAGTTAAAACTAATGAGAACCCGGTGGCACACCCACCAGCTGTGTGACCTCAGGAAAATTGTTGATTCTCTCTGACCCCAGTTTGTACATCTTTCTTGTATAGATGCTAATAATAATATAATTATAAAGATTAAATGGGATAGATGATAATATTAGTAAAAAGCTTAGATATTAGCACTCACCTAACTCAATAGATAGGTGATGTAGTTATTACTTTTTTGCAAAATGATTGAAGCAGGTTTCCTCATAGAAAGCTCAGCTCTCAGAAAATAAATAATGGGTCTGTCCATTATACTCATGCCAGATTTCTTTGACAGTATGTCTGTTGTACTGTTACTAAATTTTGTTCTCTGTTTATGTTTAAATATGGGAAAATGCAATTTATGCAGAAATCATGATTAAAAAACAGGGTTTTTTTTAATAGTTGTTTATCTTTGAGTTTTATGAAAACTATACACTCCAAATTTTGCACAATTTTACTTGGGTGTCCATGGACTTATTACCTGTTCTAAAATTTTAACTTTTTATCAACCACTGTAGTTTGGAGAAATATTGCATGTGCAAAGCAGGGAAAGTTGAAGAATTTTCTTCTTTGGATTAAATATCTTTTAGGTATATGTTGATCAGATGTTTATTTAGTATGAGAAACTGATTTGATCTTCCCACTAGAAAAATGAAAGTAAACAGACAGTTTGGTTCTCTGGGTTAGTTTCCCAGGTGTACTGCAATAAATTGTCACAAACTGGGTGGTTTAAATTAAAAAATTATTTTCCCACAGTTCTTAAATCTAGAAATCCAAACTCAGCTTGTCCTCGGGGTCATGCTCTTTTGAACGCCCTAAGGGAGAATTCGTTCCACACCTTTCTCTTAGCTTCTGGCAATGTGTGGTATTGCTTGGCTTGTAGACTCATCACTGCAATCTCTGCCTCCTTCATAACATGATTTTCTCCCTATGTGTCTGTGTCTCTTCTCTTCCGGTAAAGACAGGGTCCGTAATGGATAAGGGTCTACCTTAATTTAGCATGGCCACAACTTGATTGCATTTGCACAGACCCTACTTGAAAATAAGATCACTCTCATTGGTGTGGAGGATTAGGATTTGAACATATCTTTTGGGAGGGGAAGCACAGTTCAACTAATAAAGCTTCTTTTCTGTGTCTGTCTATCTGTGTTTAGATATATATTTTAACTGAGAACAAAGTTACAAAAGAAAAATGGATTTTAAAAACAGAATTCTCCTAGAATAATGGTTGTTTCACTTGCGACAAAACATGATCAGTGTACTCATGTACATGTATGATGTATTCATGTACATGTACACTGTACTCACGTACTCATGTACATTGTGCATGTGCAATGATGTACATGTTTTGCTTACACTGATTTGGCAGTACCATTTCTTAAACATAGTTTCTCTGTAATACTTTTTCCAATAGACTGAGTAGCTCTGTTTTTTTAAATTATAGAACAATAGCTATCATTTTGTTTGTTTACTTGAGATCAGAGTTCAAATAATAATAGGGTTACAGTTTTATGGTCACAGGTTTATGTCCGTATTGTATGTATCAACAAATGTGACACCTTGAAGATACTAGAAATGGTATAACGTTTGCATTTATAATTGTACTGAGAATTACATGTTGTAAGTAAATGAACCATTCTCCTGAGTAAGAAATTTACTTTAAAATCAAGAAAAACTGTTGACCTTTCAAGGTGAACATAGCCACTATGTATTTTTAACAGTAATTCTACTACTTATTCTACTAAAGCTCATTCCCATGAAATCTCTCTAATATCTAACGTGGTATGTGGTGTATATATCATCAGCACATTGTTATCACATCTTCCTTATGGTCATCTCCCATATAGTTGGACAACTGTCACAGATTTTTCATGTAATAAAACTTTCATGGTTTAAGTTTAAGTACTTCAATAAAAGGATTTTATGAGTATTTGCTTCTCTCTGACCTTCTGAAAGGGAAGGAAAGTAAAGCATCATAAAATCCTGTTGTGGTGTCCTTATGTTTTTCTGTTCTTGCATGAAACACATAAAACGCAAAACATACTTTTCTTGCAAGTAACACCTGCTTCAAATTACTCTACATATAATAGTCAATCAATAAATGTTTATGAAGTGAGTGAAGGAAATTGTAATCAGTCCCTCTGCTTGTAGATAGCAACCGGAAAGAGTGATGTGAGAAGGTAAAGTGATTCTGAAGCTAAGTCAGTTACACACCTTTATGTTAGGTGTTTTTCTTAAATTTGAGATGAAGGGTAAACAGAGAGAAGAACTAGAGAGTGTGCAGTGCTGCAAAATGGAGATATGTTCTTTATTTCTAGTAACTTTTCAGTAAATTGAAGGAATTTAAGACCTTGGTTTATATTTTTATCTTGTTTTCCAAGGGAATATCGCAATCTTGGGGAAAAAAACATAAAGTACATGGTTAAATGAGCAGTTGACTATATATTTTGTGATTGAGATTTGGTTTTCTGAACTACGGATTAGTTTATACTCTGGTAGTGCTTCTCCACTCTGACTATGCTTTAGCATAGCCAGAGAAGCTTTTAAAAAACATAGATACTTTGGCCCTATCTCTGCCGGTTAATCTCAGTTGTTCCATTTACTAACTGTGTTACTTTGAGCATTATTTTAGTCCACAGAATCAGGTTCTGTAGAAGTGGAGATGATACAGAAGTATTGTACTTTTAGATAAGAATGTGTTTCACAGATATTGGAAATAAAATATAATATATATTTAGAGATGTGCCAATTTATTAGGAAAACTTTGAACTGAAAAACAAGGGATTTGAGGAGATAAATATACAAATTAAACAATAAAGATTTTATAGAATTGAGAGCATCAACAAGAACAAAGTAAATACTTATATTACTGGTAGAAATACTTGAGCATAATGTTAGGAAAGTGTTCTTTTGCCTCAAATGTCTGTATTTCAAGGCCCAGGGTATGTCTGAAACTGGAGTGGACTAATTTCTTAGATGGGGAATTTAACAGCAATAGAGTATTCCCAGTGAGACTGAAAAACCATTTGCTGGAAGAGTGGCAGTGGTACTTGTGGTTGTGATCAGCGACAGGGTAGGGTAGCTTATGTCATCTCATGAACTAGAAAACCTCT